CCATCTATGTAATATCCATCTATGTAATATCCATCTATGTAATATCCGTACTGCGTCGGCGGGGGGGGGGAATTTGTAGCCTTTATTGGCCTGTAACGCTTTGCAGCGTTACAGTACTTGCATGTCACCTTTGTGGTATCATGTTTTGTACAGATGGGAAGAGGCAACACGTATTCTAGTACGTTAGAATTACTCTTGCTTGAAACACACATTCTTGCTATTTGTTTAATGACGACATGCGAAGCTGGAGTTGCTTGCTGGAATTGCATATTATCATCCTGGCGGCCGTTGTCAAAAAGATCGTAAAGTTAATGCTAATGTTGAGACTAATTTTGTCTCTGGCAACGGGCCCCAGATGTACGTTTGTACTTAGACATTCCGCTATCCTGCTAAAAATTACATAATATCTTAGGACGTCAGTCACGATTTTCAGTCTGCCTACTTCAATGTGCTGAAAGTATTTCAAGAAAAACGCAAACACGATACACATGACTTTCACTCACCGATGTTATCTCCAAGTTCATAAACCTCGAATTCGAAATCTTAATTGCGGTCGTGAGGCAAGCATGCGGGCAGCAATCAACCCTGACGGCCCAGCTCCAATCACAGCCACTCGTGATGGTGCCATACTAGATGTTTAACGTATGACTATATAGAGAACAATTAAATTTAAATGATTTTATACTATTTATTTTACATTCTGTAGAAAGGTGTACGAGGAAGCAGTTATCTTTATTATGTAGGGAGTCTATTACTAGTCGAAGTTTATGTGTCTTGTTTTGGGCACAAGAGACGTGCAATTGCCATAAAATTCAAATCAAGTTTTGTGTATTATCTCAGTCGTGATTAATTACAAACTGATAGCATGGGCACTACGCCTGTATTAGCGGGTACAAAAAAGTTACAAGATAAAAAAAAATTGGATGTTAAATTCAGCATTGTATAGTTAAAGGTATTGCTTGAACATGACAGCGATATGCTGATTTCCCATTGTATTCGATCTTTACATGAACAATAATCTTTTTCATATCTACTTTTTTATCTTGTACGTACCTTTTGTAAAAACAACAATAAATTTCTGTACTCTAGGCATACCTTGTGTTGCTGTATTCTTGCAGAGAACGACTTCTATATGTGTACACGTTACAGCCCTTTTCCCTATGTGGCGCCACCTTCTATTTATAAGCAAGTTATTTACAAAGGGAACAAGTGTGTCAACGTTCGAATTACTTCTGCAGCAATATATATGACTTTGATTTCTATGCCAGAGAATGTATAGCCGTCTAAAAATAGTTGCAGCATCCTAAATGTTATCTACTCGTAAAGTTGACCTTTACCGTTTGCTCAGCAAACGTCCATGGTCCACTCAGTAAGAACATTGACCAGGCATGTTACCATGTATATGGTATGGTCATTGCTACCACACGATGTATGTCAGTGTATATATTTAANGTAGGGGGATGAAAGCCACCCCACCTCAATAAGTGTGGGGGGATATACCCCCATTCCCCCGCTATCTACGCCCCTGTCAGATGAACTCAAAGTTGACTTTTGATATGCATACAAATATTCATAATCATAATGTTTGTTAGCAGTACTCTATAGGCGCCCCGGAAAGACTTCACGCGGTCCCTGTACTATTCACAAAACGACCAAAAACCGACATAATTCTTCTAAATCTATCATTCTCTCGTTCACCGGCTGTGATCGGCTAGCGACAGTACAAGCTGAAGACGTGTGTATTGTTACGTATGAGATCAGGGTTACTTTATCAGCATCCATATCTACTGCTACATAAAAAGGGAGGAACTACAGCAGGAAAATATAGTATTCGTCAAGAACTCTTGTATAATCATTGTATTGTGATACATGCGAAGAATAGAAGAGAATAACAACCGATTTCTGATAGTACTAGTTAAAGTGTATTTTGGTTCTATAAAGATAGGAATGTGCAATAACAAGCCCGCAAATGACAAAACATCCATAACAGAAGCGTGCGATTTATAAAAAAAAATATCCACTGAGTTGTAGATAATTGATTACAGTGGCAGAAAGCTTTATTTGTGTTTTTTCATAATAGAATATAATATTAATACTCAGTATCACGTCTCGCGATGTGAACATTTTCATGCCATTCAATGCGGCTATGATTTAATTTATGGCTGATATCAACTACCTGTTATATTTATATTGATTTCAAACAATTTTACATGTGTGTATATTAGTACAACTGCTCTAAATTATAGGCTATCGTATCGAATACACTTTAAGTGACTTGTAATGTCAATGAACGTAGATGTATCCTGGGTCTCTGTGGCAAAACATTGAGTCAGACAATATCATTGTTAAGCCACCTCGAAGAAGCGAAACACATCTCCTGCTGGGCAACTACAATAGCTCTCAACAACCCATTGCCGTATGCTAGTCACACTCAGTGATGAGTGCCTGGCCCAGAGAAGCCTAGCTCGATCTCTGGATATCGATCTACTATCTATATGCAAACATTCCCTAATCTAATGTTTCACGTGCAGCTAGTGTTGCGCACACTCTGGAGACAATGCCTCATGGACTGTGGTGACACTCTAAATGGGAGTCAGAGTCGCGTTAGTCCCTATATGTCATCACATTTTTGCATATTGCAGCGAAGACAGCTTCAAATGAGCGGTACTTTGGCTCCATGACGTTATCGATCTTTGCAAAAGTGGCAATCTCATCGCAGTACACCGTAAACGACCAACGTGGAGGGAATACGAACCTGTGGGCGTGGCGGGGTTTCTGTCCGCTAGCTAACCGATCGTGGTAGTCAGCTTCTGTGTCCTGGTTCATATCTTGCTCGCTAGGGAGCGCCAGTGACCCATCAAAGATCATAAGCGCAATCGGAACCTGGAGGTACGCGATTGAGAATTCAAGGGCTGTATACGGCATGGCGATAAACATGAGCGTGTGGTACCTGCTGTGGATCATGTGCTTGAATAACGGTTGTATGCGTTTACCCTCGCTAACGGTGACATCGCACGAGGCGTCGAGGAATTAGACCGAATACTTGTAGCCGGTGCAGAAAATAATCACGTCTGGTTGGAACGTCTCACCGTCGGTGAACGTCACCACGCTACCGTTGATCGCCTGCGGGAATGTCGTTGTTCTCACGTTGTGTGGTAGCAGCCCTTTCTTGTACTGCTCACCCAGGCCTAGACCGTCTAGTTCGCTGAGTGATATGATCACCTCGGATGCGTGAGGGTAGAGATGTTTCATGATATCAAATGCAGACACAAGTGCTCCCATCAGGAGTACTCGCTTGCCTGTAAGAAATCTCATAAAACTTTGACGGTAGACGGTGCGGCGTGACATTCTGATATAATGTAACTACAGCAAGATACGAAGTAGGTTTTGTTTCAGCTTAATATTTCCGTATAATCTTGTATGCTTAACTATATATGAGGTGTATCCATTACGTATAACAAAATAACCGGTATCTATACTAATGCTCGTCGGGTCTATGTCTCCCTGGGTACTGCCGGAACGTACCCTGGGTACGGTCCGGTATACCGGAACGTACCCTGGTAACTTCTAATATGCCAGACCGTACCTCGCCTACTCCACTAACGAGTCTAGGGAGTCGCCTACGCCTACTCCTTAACCCTGACCCTAACCATATCAAATAGTTACCAGGGTACGTTCCGGCAGTACCCAGGGAAACATAGACCCTATGAGCTATACTAATTTAGTCAGCGCACCTGTATAGAGTTCTGGATGGCGGTAATCGTGGCTGTGTAGCTGTACCCCGCTGAAGCTCTCCTGACCAGGAATGTCTGGATAGTGAGGGACACTATAGTGTCCAGAGCAGACTAGCACAGCATCAAACACCTTCTCCTTGCTGCCTCCTCCCTGAAGGGCAGTCGTGCGCACCAACCACTGTGGTCTGTTGGGAGATTGGTGGGCATCTCCTGATGAGACAGGCTTTGTGGTGATGCGTTTTACAGACGTTACATCTGTATTTAGTTGGATGTCTTTTCGAAGGTTGAAGTGGTCGGCGTAGGCAAAAATGTAGTCTTGAACCTACGCAAAGTATCACGAAATCGAGGTTTTAATATAAATCTGAAGATAACGTTTACATTGCATCAGGTTTTATATAAATTACACTGTTTTTGTTGTCAAGTCCGCTAGTATTTTTAACTAGAACCCAAAAATATACACCTCTTTCCAACGTATAAATTTCTTCGAATCCGAAGGGAAGGGAAAGTCAGGGAATTCCATCGCATCCGTAGGTAGGTTGGTGATAAGGTTCTTGTAAATACTTGAGTGTACTGGGAAGCCATCTTCAGTTAGCCCTGTCCTCTCCGTGTACACCCACGTACCTCCTAATTAAAGCCGGCGCAATTAAAACCACTGTACTAATGATCAACCTGCGTGTAAGCATCCTGATGTGCCGCGTGGAGGATGGGGGGAAAATATCAAATGAACTTCCTATCTTCTTTATAAAAGATGGACAAGGAATAGGATACCCACCCACATATCTCCGATTCGATATCTGCTGATATGGCATACGTATACCATAATTATGGCATACATGCATTTCGCTTGCATACGTCACGCACTACGTTACGTAGCGCAGTTAGAAGTATGCCGCCACATCTTGCTTATTTTGTAGTAAACGCAACTAGGCTCAACATTGCCTTAATTTTATTCATACTCACCGATGTTATCTCCACGTTCGTAAACCTCGAAGTCGAAATCTTGCGGTCGGGAGATAAGCAGGCGAGCAGCAATCAACCCTGACGGCCCGGCTCCAATCACAGCCACTCGTAATGGTGCCATACTAGATGTTCAACGTATAATATATAATATTTTATACGTGTATTGCTCAAAATAATACATGCTTGAACTTAATTAGGGCATATAATTTGTTATTATGTGCAATGATCATGTGATTACGCCGTTGTCTATACCTCTTAGTGTAATAAAGCTAAAGTCTTTACGATATAGAGCGACACCGCAGGACAGGCACGGTCCTTGACCACGTCTATGTCGAGGCTAAGATCCGACACAGGGACACACCTCAGGCACTTGGTCACTCGCGTCGTCATAGGCAGTTCAATACGGGTACTGCCAAGTACGGCATTCCGGGTAGACAAAAGAAACCCTCCCCCTATCATTAAAAAAAGAGGACAGTGGCCTTGTTTCATACCATTCCTTACCAAGATCCTGGTCACGGCACCAGCTGTAATGAATGGATTTTCCCACTCGTGTATCTGTACTCTCGTGTGTGTTGGTGTGTGTGTGATCGGCTCGTGACGTATAATGTATACCGTGTGACGTTGTACCCGAAAAGGTTCTCGCTTGGTGCGGGTAATTAAGAACTAATTACCCTGAGGTTAGCATCAAATAATAGACAGACACGAAATGTACATACAACAATATATCTATTTAATTCTTACACAAACTTACAGAGACAAGTTATTAGTTACATATTTAACACAAGATCTCTAAAAGGAGTTTACACACGCAAATACATTTACTAGTCTTAAATGGAGTTTTAAAATGCATACTGTAACACGAATACGATAAGATCTAAACTATAACACGAATACGGTAAAACTTATTCATACTCACATACCAGGAGAGACAGAGAGGGACTCCGAGAGACCCGGGTTGGTTCTCTCCTCCCTCTCTCTCTCTCTCTCCTCTCTGCTTTCTCTGTTAGAAAACGTCTCTATTTAAGCAAGTCTGGATGTGTCTCGTGATCTTAGTAGTGCTACGCTTCCAGGTTAATGTGTCTATGAAACAAGGCCACTGTCCTCTTTTTTAAAGATAGGGGGAGGGTTTCTTTTGTTTACCCGAAATGCCGTACTTGGCAGTACCCGTATTGAACTGCCTATAACGACGCGAGTGACCAAGTGCCTGAGGAGTGTCCCTGTGTCGGATCTTAGCCTCGACATAGACGTGGTCAAGAACCGTGCCTGTCCTGCGGTGTCGCTCTATATCGTAAAGACTTTAGCTTCATTACATTATAGTCAGGTTCCTTAGTGCAAAATATGGGCCGAATCGTTACAGGAGGGACAAAAATCTCAAACTTGGCACAGTTGTAGCTTATGGCAGTACTATAATTATTAGAGGGGGTGCCCAATGCAGATATTCCTTAGAAGGGAATTACAGATGATTTAATGTTTGAACCACCCGACTCCGAACCCCCCTACCGTGCCCGCCTGTATACAATGCCAATACCAAACTGCATGCAGTGCCCCCAAACTGCATGCAGCGCCCTCTTCCCACACTCAGGAATTGAGCCAGAGCGAAAGCGCCATCTGTCGTGGAGTTTGTGTCAATACATGTACCAGCTGTACAATGCGCCAGTACACAGTACAGGCGGGCGCGGTGGGGGGTTCGGAGTCGGGTGGTTCGAACATTTAATCATCTGTAATTCACTTCCGCGCGCATATATTTGCTAATATATTGACTAATCGTGCGTCAATAAACTCAGTATTGACAAAAATTATAGCTAAGACATGTGTCTATAGGCATCTAGATTTCTAGAAATGTAACTCAATTCGTTCGCGAGATATGACAGTTAATACACTTGCATGCCGTCTATAACCGTGCGTATATTAGCCTATATGAGCGATACCGCGCGCATATATTTGCTAATATATTGACTAATCGTGCGTCAATAAACTCAATATTCACAGATATTATAGCAAAGACATCTGTCTATTAACTTAATTCCTTCGCGAGATGTGAGAGTTAATACACTTGCCTGCCGTTTATAGCCGTGCGTATTTGAGCGATACCGCGCGCATATATTTGCTAATATATTGACTAATCGTGCGTCAATAAACTAAATATTCACAGTGATAGCTAAGACATGTGTCTATATGTATGTAGATTGTATATGTATATTCTAGAAATGTAACTCAATTCGCTCGCGAGATATGAGAGTTAATACATAGCGTAATAGCGTATGCGCGCGGGGGGAGGGGTTACCAGCTGAACACAATGAGTCAGGCGGGCGCGGTTCGAACATTTAATCATCTATAATTCACTTCTAAGGAATATCTACATTGGGCACCCCTCTAATATTTATAGTACTGCCATAAGCTACAACTGTGCCAAGTTTGATGCTTTTGTCAGCTCTGTAACGATCATGATGCTAAGGGACCTGACTATTACGTAAGAGTTAAGGTATATATAATATACTGATCGTAATATCATCGTTTTCGATGTATTTTATCTTTACATGGACTGGAATTGTTTAAATTTGATTATTCCTAACAGCTCGTGTAGTTTTTCTCAGGAAAACGTGTATTCTGACACGACACTTACCTTGCGTTGCTTGTAATCTAACCAAACGACTTGTGTGCGGTTACCTTGCAGTCTAGAGCTACACGTCACTTGCGTCTCTAGTTTTCGTACTTCCCTGGTTCCAGTTTTTTTGTACGTGCGAGTTATATCAAGCAGTGAATCAAGTGCAGCAAGGTTAGATATATTTTTACGACGAAACGTTTAATTCGCACTTCGTACAGAAATGTAGCCGTCTAAATAAAACACACATACGTACATATGCCCAGGAGCTTATAAATGGTTCATTTATAAGCTCCTGATATGCCGCATTAGAGCTGTGGTATCATGTGACCGTTGCCATGCAGCAAAAATGAGCTGACTGTAGTCTGATGTGCCTATATTATACACTATACTGATGTATAAAGTACATTGAGCCCGGGCTCGTGTGACGTCCGTGCGATCATCTACATATCGTTATCGCAGGATGTCCTAGTGACCGGGTGATACTCCATTAGGAGTGTTCCCAACTTTAATGTCATTAATGGTCATAATAACACAATATATATATAAGTTTGTGGTTTAATGTCAATTAGGTTAGGGTTAGGGTTAGGGTTAGCATTATCAATCATTAATCATTAATCATTAATGAATGACGTATGTAATAATACATTAGGAGAGTATGAATGGCGATGACGGATTTGTAGATAAATATCCAGTATTTATTGCCTGCAAAATATTAAATTTTTCTCCATTTTCTTCCTGAAAGTAGGGGGGGATGAAATCCACCCCCCCTCAATAAGTGTGGGGGGATATACCCCCATCCCCCCGCTATCTACGCCCCTGTCAGATGAACTCAAAGTTGACTATTGATATGCAAACAAATATTCATAATCATAATCTTTGTTGGCAGTACTCTATAAGCGCCGCGGAAAGACTTCACGCGGTCCCTGTACGATTCACAAAACGACCAAAAACCGACATAATTCTTCTAAATCTATCATTCTCTCGTTCACCGGCTGTGATCGGCTAGCGACAGTACAAGCTGAAGACGTGTGTATTGTTACGTATGAGATCAGGGTTACTTTCTCAGCATCCATATATATCTACTGCTACATAAAAAGGGAGGAACTACAGCAGGAAAATATAGTATTCGTCAAGCGCTCTTGTATAATTATTGTATTGTGATACATGCGAAGGATAGAGGAGAATAACAATCGATTTCTGATAGTACTAGTTAAAGTTTATTTTGGTTCTATAAAGATAGGAATGTGCAATAACAAGCCCGCAAGTGACAAAGCCTCCATAACAGAAGCGTGCAAATTATATAAACAAATATCCACTGAGTTGTAGATAAGATTACAGTGTCAGAAAGCTTCATTTGAGTTTTTTAATAATAGAATGTTTATATTATTAATACTCAGTATCAATCTCGCAATGTGAACATTTTCATGCCATTCAATGCGGCTATGATTCAATTTATAGCTGATATCAACTACCTATTATATTTATATTTATTCCAAACAATTTTACATGTGTGTATATTAATTAGAACAACTGCTCTAAATTATAGGCTATCGTATCGAATACAGTTTAAGTGACTTGTAATGTCAATGAAAGTAGATGTATCCTGGGTCTCTGTGGCACAACATTAAGTCAGGCAATATCACTGTTAAGCCACCACGAGGAAGCGAAACACATCTCCGGCTGGGCAACTACAATAGCTCTCAACAGCCCTTGCCGTATGCTAGTCACACTCGGTGATGAGTGCCTGGCCGCGAAATTTTTTTCCCACGAGAGTTCCGGACTCACCACAGATAGTGTTTTGTAATATATGGTGCGTATATAAGACAAACCTGGTTGGATTATAGTTAGTGTTAGGGTTCGGGTTCGGTTTTGGGTTAGGGTGTATCAATTTTACATTGTTGCTTCGAGGAAGTCGAGTGAATGGAGTGCGCTGATTGGCTATGGTCCGGAGCTGAAGTGGGGAAAAAAATTTCGCTGCCTAGCCCAGAGAAGCCTAGATCGATCTCTGGATATCGATCTACTATCTATATGCAAACATTCCCTAATCTAATGTTTCACGTGCAGCTAGAGTTGCGCACACTCTGGAGGTTATGCCTCACGGACTGTGATGACACTCTAGATGGGAGTCAGAGTCGCGTTAGTCCCTATATGTCATCACATTTTTGCATATTGCAGCGAAGATGGCAAAGAACAGTCTTCAAATGAGCCCGGTACTCGCTTGGGCATAGACTTTCGATTTCTTTGCAAAAGTGGCGCGAATGCTCAAATCGTAGA